TTAGGTAGCTTACATGTTTAGAGGATCTGTAGGTACACTTTAGGTAGTACACATGTTTACAGGATCTGTAGGTACACTTTAGGTAGTACACATGTTTACAGGATCTGTAGGTACACTTTAGGTAGCTTACATGTTTAGAGGATCTGTAGGTACACTTTAGGTAGTACACATGTTTACAGGATCTGTAGGTACACTTTAGGTAGTACACATGTTTACAGGATCTGTAGGTACACTTTAGGTAGTACACATGTTTACAGGATCTGTAGGTACACTTTAGGTAGCTTACATGTTTAGAGAATCTGTAGGTACACTTTAGGTAGTACACATGTTTAGAGAATCTGTAGATACACTTTAGGTAGTACACATGTTTAGAGGATATGTATATACACTTGAGGTAGTACACATGTTTACAGGATCTGTAGGTACACTTTAGGTAGTACACATGTTTAGAGAATCTGTAGATACACTTTAGGTAGTATACATGTTTATAGGATCTGTAGGTACACTTTAGGTAGCTTACATGTTTAGAGAATCTGTAGGTACACTTTAGGTAGAACGCAGGTTTACAGGATCTGTAGATACACTTTAGGTAGTACACATGTTTATAGGATCTGTAGGTACACTTTAGGTAGCTTACATGTTTAGGGGATCTGTAGGTACACTTTAGGTAGCTTACATGTTTAGAGGATCTGTAGGTACACTTTAGATAGTACACATGTTTACAGGATCTGTAGGTACACTTTAGGTAGTACACATGTTTACAGGATCTGTAGGTACACTTTAGGTAGTTTACATGTTTAGAGGATCTGTAGGTACACTTTAGGTAGTTTACATGTTTAGAGGATCTGTAGGTACACTTTAGGTAGCTTACATGTTTAGGGGATCTGTAGGTACACTTTAGGTAGCTTACATGTTTAGAGGATCTGTAGGTACACTTTAGATAGTACACATGTTTAGAGGATCTGTAGGTACACTTTAGGTAGTACACATGTTTACAGGATCTGTAGGTACACTTTAGGTAGCTTACATGTTTAGAGAATCTGTAGGTACACTTTAGGTAGTACACATGTTTAGAGAATCTGTAGATACACTTTAGGTAGTACACATGTTTAGAGGATATGTATATACACTTGAGGTAGTACACATGTTTACAGGATCTGTAGGTACACTTTAGGTAGTACACATGTTTAGAGAATCTGTAGATACACTTTAGGTAGTATACATGTTTATAGGATCTGTAGGTACACTTTAGGTAGCTTACATGTTTAGAGAATCTGTAGGTACACTTTAGGTAGAACGCAGGTTTACAGGATCTGTAGATACACTTTAGGTAGTACACATGTTTATAGGATCTGTAGGTACACTTTAGGTAGCTTACATGTTTAGGGGATCTGTAGGTACACTTTAGGTAGCTTACATGTTTAGAGGATCTGTAGGTACACTTTAGATAGTACACATGTTTACAGGATCTGTAGGTACACTTTAGGTAGTACACATGTTTACAGGATCTGTAGGTACACTTTAGGTAGTTTACATGTTTAGAGGATCTGTAGGTACACTTTAGGTAGTTTACATGTTTAGAGGATCTGTAGGTACACTTTAGGTAGCTTACATGTTTAGGGGATCTGTAGGTACACTTTAGGTAGCTTACATGTTTAGAGGATCTGTAGGTACACTTTAGATAGTACACATGTTTAGAGGATCTGTAGGTACACTTTAGGTAGTACACATGTTTAGAGGATCTGTAGGTACACTTTAGGTAGTACACATGTTTAGAGGATCTGTAGGTACACTTTAGGTAGAACGCAGGTTTACAGGATCTGTAGGTACACTTTAGGTAGTACACATGTTTAGAGGATCTGTAGGTACACTTTAGGTAGTTTACATGTTTAGAGGATCTGTAGGTACACTTTAGGTAGTACACATGTTTAGAGAATCTGTAGATACACTTTAGGTAGTACACATGTTTAGAGGATCTGTAGGTACACTTTAGGTAGTTTACATGTTTAGAGGATCTGTAGGTACACTTTAGGTAGTTTACATGTTTAGAGGATCTGTAGGTACACTTTAGGTAGTTTACATGTTTAGAGGATCTGTAGATACACTTTAGGTAGCTTACATGTTTAGAGAATCTGTAGATACACTTTAGGTAGTACACATGTTTAGAGGATCTGTAGATACACTTTAGGTAGGTTACATGTGTATAGGATCTGTAGATACACTTTAGGTAGAACACATGTTTAGAGGATCTGTAGATACACTTTAGGTAGAACACATGTTTAGAGGATCTGTAGATACACTTTAGGTAGTTTACATGTTTAGAGAATCTGTAGATACACTTTAGGTAGCTTACATGTTTAGGGGATCTGTAGGTACACTTTAGGTAGCTTACATGTTTAGAGGATCTGTAGGTACACTTTAGATACACTTTAGGATAGGTACACTTTACATCTTTAGAGAATCTGTAGGTACACTTTAGGTAGTACACATGTTTAGAGAATCGGTAGGTACACTTTAGGTAGTACACATGTTTAGAGAATCTGTAGGTACACTTTAGGTAGTACACATGTTTAGAGGATCTGTAGGTACACTTTAGGTAGTACACATGTTTAGAGAATCTGTAGATACACTTTAGGTAGTACACATGTTTAGAGGATCTGTAGGTACACTTTAGGTAGTTTACATGTTTAGAGGATCTGTAGGTACACTTTAGGTAGTTTACATGTTTAGAGGATCTGTAGTTACACTTTAGGTAGTACACATGTTTAGAGAATCTGTAGATACACTTTAGGTAGTACACATGTTTACAGGATCTGTAGATACACTTTAGGTAGAACACATGTTTAGAGGATCTGTAGATACACTTTAGGTAGTTTACATGTTTAGAGAATCTGTAGATACACTTTAGGTAGGTTACATGTTTAGAGGATCTGTAGATACACTTTACATGTAGAGTAGAACACATGTTTAGAGAATCTGTAGATACACTTTAGGTAGAACACATCTTTAGAGAATCTGTAGGTACACTTTAGGTAGTACACATGTTTAGAGAATCGGTAGGTACACTTTAGGTAGTACACATGTTTAGAGAATCTGTAGGTACACTTTAGGTAGTACACATGTTTAGAGGATCTGTAGGTACACTTTAGGTAGCTTACATGTTTAGAGAATCTGTAGATACACTTTAGGTAGTTTAGAGAATCTGTAGGTATGTTACACATGTTTAGAGAATCTGTAGATACACTTTAGGTAGTAGATGTTTACACTTTAGGTAGAACACATGTTTAGAGAATCTGTAGGTACACTTTAGGTAGCTTACATGTTTAGAGAATCTGTAGATACACTTTAGGTAGTTTACATGTTTAGAGTAGACACTTTAGGTAGAACACATGTTTAGAGAATCTGTAGGTACACTTTAGGTAGTATACATGTTTAGAGAATCTGTAGGTACACTTTAGGTAGTACACATGTGTAGAGGATCTGTAGGTACACTTTAGGTAGTACACATGTTTAGAGAATCTGTAGGTACACTTTAGGTAGTACACATGTTTAGAGGATCTGTAGGTACACTTTAGGTAGTACACATGTTTACAGGATCTGTAGGTACACTTTAGGTAGCTTACATGTTTAGAGGATCTGTAGGTACACTTTAGGTAGTACACATGTTTAGAGAATCTGTAGATACACTTTAGGTAGTCTAAATGTTTAGAGGATCTGTAGATACACTTTAGGTAGAACACATGTTTAGAGAATCTGTAGGTACACTTTAGGTAGCTTACATGTTTAGAGAATCTGTAGATACACTTTAGGTAGTTTACATGTTTAGAGGATCTGTAGATACACTTTAGGTAGAACACATGTTTAGAGAATCTGTAGGTACACTTTAGGTAGTATACATGTGTAGAGAATCTGTAGGTACACTTTAGGTAGTACACATGTGTAGAGGATCTGTAGGTACACTTTAGGTAGTACACATGTTTAGAGAATCTGTAGGTACACTTTAAGTAGAACACATGTTTAGAGAATCTGTAGGTACACTTTAAGTAGAACACATGTTTAGAGAATCTGTAGATACACTTTAGGTAGAACACATCTTTAGAGAATCTGTAGGTACACTTTAGGTAGCTTACATGTTTAGAGAATCTGTAGGTACACTTTAGGTAGCTTACATGTTTAGAGAATCTGTAGATACACTTTAGGTAGGTTACATGTTTAGAGGATCTGTAGATACACTTTAGGTAGCTTACATGTTTAGAGGATCTGTAGATACACTTTAGGTAGAACACATGTTTAGAGAATCTGTAGATACACTTTAGGTAGAACACATGTTTAGAGGATCTGTAGATACACTTTAGGTAGAACACATGTTTAGAGGATCTGTAGGTACACTTTAGGTAGTACACATGTTAAGAAACCCATCTCTTTTAATAAACATAACTGTACTCCTTAGGAGACAAAAGCATGTCTCTGTGAAAGAGCCTCACCTTTCCTGCATGGAAGGTTGCTATACACAAAGTCAGAAGTAATGAAGGAGAAAGGTAGAGAGAATATCAACAGATGCAGCAGATTTATGATAGTATCTATAAGCTTATCAAGGACAGGTCATCAGTATCGATGTATAGAAGTGTGGGTTGGTGATATTGACAGCTTACACACCATAGTCCGTTAATCCTAGTGCTTTTGCTGGAACACAGTCATGTAACACTGGATTATACTCAGGTGATAATACCTATCACACCTAATACAAAAACAAGTGTTTGATTACTAGTAATTCTCATCAGTGTCTCCACTAGGAATCAAACCCAGGACCTCTGGCTTACTAGTCTTACTCTCAACAGAAAGAGCTGAAGAGAAGTTCTCTTTTATTTAAAAACATGTTAAAAAAGGTAATAAATCATAACCAAGCAACCAAAATCAATTAAAGCTGTCTCAACAGCAGATCAGCTATAACTGGATAAGTAATTTCCATAGTAGATTAAATACTGATATTGTATTTACAGGTCACCGATCAAGACCTCATCCTCCGTAGATGATGTTCGTAGAGAGATTGATCGAGAGTCTTCCAGGATTCAGCAGGAGATAGAGAATGAGAGGCGGGCCAATTTGCCAGCATCAAGAAGGGATTCTAAATCCCCAACTAGGACACTTATTGACCTCAGCACTAGCATGGACAAGGTAAGGCACTGTTTGTAGGGCTTATAAGTCTATAGGTAGAGTAACCATGAAAATGTACAACTATGACTCCTTCGGGAGCAGAATGTAAAACATCAGTTGTGGTTTACAATACTTAACCCGAGCATGATTGGTAAACATTTCAGGTGCTAATGTTAACATATTGAAATGCTTACGTTCTCCAATTTATGTATTTGCAGTTTAACATTAACATATATGTGTATTGTTACATGAATTTACAGTAGGTATGTATATTTGCAGTAATGTATAAGATCATACCTGTGTAAATGTAAAGACCTACCAACGGAGCTACCTAGTCCTCATGATCGATCCAGTCAAGTTCCGCTACACTATCACAGTTTGAGTACATTTATGATACATTTGATGATGTTTTGTTCACTGTTTTACAGCCAGCCTTTAATGAGATAAGCAGTGAAAAGTCTGGAGGTCATGATTCCAATAAAGATATCTCCTCCCCTTTGGGTCGATCCAGTCCCACCCTACAGGACTATGAAGACTCTGGCTACAAAACACCTCCCAGGGCTCGCAGCCCCATTCTACGTGCACGAGACAGGATTAGTGGCATGCCTCCCATGCATCCTAAATCTGCCACATTCTCCAGAGAGGAATCACATAGGACAGTATCTTCCTCAAGGGAAGAACCATTTCGATCTTCCTCACCTAACCCAAAGTCTAGAACTTCTCTCACAGATTCACTGAGACCAGGTTCTCCACGGCTGGATTTCCCGGATCCAAAGAGGTCAGTTTCTCCCATCCTCCGAAGTGGTAGTTCGTCGTTCCAGGAACAAGATCCTTCCTCTAGCTTTTCCAGTTCCCGTGCTGGCCATGATGAAGAACCACATTCTCATGGTCCAGAGCTTATGGTGCCAGTCACCCCTAAATACCAGGATTTGTCTGTGCTACGGGCTCGCTCGCTTAGTCCTAAATCCAGTGACAGGCCAAGAAGTCCTCTACAAGGTGTTCTCAAGGATAAAACCTCTCTGACAGGGCCGCGCCCAGCCAGTCCCCGTCCTGGATTAGATCACTCCATGCGGTCAGAACTGGTAAGTTTTACTCTTGTCTTCATATTTAAGATATTAAAAAGTTGTAACAAGTATAAGCTTGTTTTTCTACCACTTGTGTATAGATAAGCTTCCTATGTCTCACCTGGAACACAAGGTTTTTTATCCCTTCAGTGATGAGATCTCAACACAAGGTATGCTAAATCTCATATAATTGAAAGAATTTATTAGTCAAGCTTGACATCATACCTGCTCATGATTGACTCATTAATGCAAGAAAAACATGTCAAATTACAAAAAATAGGACAGAGTGAAATGTATCTATCATTGAGGACAATATTGCAGATTTAGTGAAATTCTTGTAAAGGAACTGATTTAGTGAATTCTTCACTGGGAAACTTATGTAGTAAAATTTGTATACAGGAGACCAGTTAGTGAATTCTTCCATGGGAAAATGATTAATTGAAAATAGTTCCATGGGAACTGATTTAGTGAAATTCTTTCATAGGTAACTGATATGATTTACATAGAAAATTGATCCAGTGAAATTCTTACACAGGAAACTGATTTATGATTTTGAAAGAAATCTTAAACAACCATGTTCCTGATTTTTCAAAAGTGTGTGTTCCTTTCCAGTCTGTATCCTTTCAAGACCAGCTTCCCTCATCCTCACAGAGGTCACATGCAAGGTCACAGTCTGTTGAGGGTCGTTTGGTAAGTTTATGACATTATCATGTCCGGGCCATAAAACAGTGTTGTCCGTGTCCGTTCCGTCACTTCATGATTGAATATAATCACCGAACAACTTCGTTAGATTTTAGTCAAACTTTATACAAATGTGAATTATAACTAAACTTCAGACATCATTGCAGGGGCCCAAGGTCAAGGTCACCGTTGCTATGTGTAGAATATCATCAACTAAGTCATTTTAAACTCTTAGTAACTTTACTCTTGCTTGGAATTGGGTCAAATTTTTCTCAACAATCAAGTATGAATGTACTTTAGACATTGTTGTGTTTGAGGAGTCCAAAGTCAAGGCCAAGGTCAGCAGTGCTCTATAATTTTATGGAACACTGAATCTAATTTCACTTGGCAGAAGGGGCATTTATGTCCTACAGACATTTTCTAGTTAAACAAGCACCTGACTTATGTTCATCAAGTTATGTTAAAATCTTTAAACAGCTTGTTCTGAGAACAATCATCAATAGATATAGATAAATGGGTATTCTCCCTTTTCTGAAAGTACTTGTTGACTTGACTTGTAAAATTAATAGTCTGTTGCCTTGAAGTATAGTTTATGATGTGTCCCAGGAATTTTGATATATGCACAACTGCGCCATGCTGTCATTAGTGCTTTGGTTTTGGCAAAGAATCTTTTAGAACATCTCATGTTATAAGTTTAAAATTAGTCTAGAAATTAATATTCATGAATCAAGAAATTGCTCAGTGAGAAATTTGATGCCTTAATTTGCAATTAAAATTCTGTTGAAGGCAATATCTTCCACTTCATTTCTTAACAGCTACTACATGTATATGCAGGACAAATTGGCCACTAGTTAATAGTGTTCATTCTTAATACACTTCTAACAATCATAGTGTGAATCGTATACCAGGTAGTCTAAGACTATGCTAATTTTAATCTGGGTTGTCAAGCATTTTAGATTTAATTAACTTGTATGGTTCTAAAAAGATTTTAGAGAAAAAAAATTTAAAAAATGCTGTATTGAAGTGATATTTTAGTGATTGGGACACAACACAGTTTGTACGTAAGTAGGACTCACTCCGTATCTGAACATAGACCCTCTCTTTTTTAGGTGTCTGATCTACAGGGGGACAACAGTAATTTAAGGTTCAATCACCGACGAAGAAACTCCTATGATCCAGGGGTGAGTACCAGTAAACAGGAGACACAACAAGGACTTGACGTGGCAAATTGTTTTTTACCTTTGTTTTTACCTTTATGATGTATAGAAACTATTTACCTGTACAGAATGGATTAAGTTGCAAATCATTTGACTAGTGTATTAGGATGGTCAATGTAAGAACTGATGTGGACATCTTAAATAGTTTGGTATTACAACAGTGTTAGATAATATCTCAGATAAAAACATGTGCTGGAAAATAAGGAAAATATGATAAAAAGAAAACTTAAAATTTGGAAAAGGACATTAGTTATTGATAGTTGATATTATTTGGAAACAATTATTCCCTGTGTATATGAATAGATCAGATATACAGGTAATTGTTGATGTTCCAGCAGAGTGTCTGTTATTCCTGGTGGGCCTTACATGTTGTTGGATCAAATCCTTGGATCCTTCAGTCATTGATTCATTCTGCCTTTGTCTTCCAAATGTAACAGAGCTCATTGTTTATTTCAGTGCCTCCTTTAGGATTCAAACCTCAGACCCCTAACTTACTAGTTTAACACTCAACCAAACGAGCTAAAGAGAAGTTCACTGTAGCAGCGTGATAGATTGTACTCAGTTTTTACCAGGGTTACATATATATTTTCCCTCCAGAAAATAACTCATCCCTGAGTGTCCATTGGTTACAGCGATGTATTCTTGAGACCCTACATGGGCACCAAAAGGTCATTATTTATTCCTCCTGTAGGATTCAAACCCTGGACCGCTGGCTTACTATACTCGACCGATTAAGCTAAAGAGAAGTTCTCTCTAGCCAAGCGGTATATTGCGACTGGTATTGAACCAGGGTTACATACTTGCCCTCCAGGAAAGAACTTGTCCTCAAGTTCCCAGTGGTTACAGCAATGCTTGTGAAAGTAACGTTTAGTATTATTCCTGAGTCCTTACATTGGTTCCAATGTAACACAGGTCATTAATCATTTCCATACCTCCCCTTTAGGATTTGAACTTGGGGCCTCTTGTTTAATTCTCTGACACACAACTGATCAAACTAAGGAAAAGTTCTCTCTCGCCAAACAGTATGTTGTGGCTAGTATTAACAAGGGTTACACAAATATCAATGTCATGGATGATAGAGAAAAAGAACATAGGCTAAGGGAAGCAAATCTTAAAAATTTTAAGATTTTTTTGGTGAAGCAATCTAAATATGTTTTCCCCACTTTTCTTCACTTTGCCGAGTAATAAAGTTCAAATATAATTTCTTTTTTCAATATTTCATTGATTTCATGCATTTTATATGAGAAAGCATCAGGAAGATGAGTTGATATTTTGTCTAATGTCACTCCTTTGCTTCAAGGTGGACTCGGCAGAAGAGATGGAAAATAGCCGGGGTACGTGGAAAGCTTCACGAGCCGAGCTCCAGATAGCCGAGAAAAAGCTGAAAGGTGTTAATGCACAGATCGAGGATGCCAGGTAGGCTAACATTATTTTTGGCCTTTAAAGCTTGTAATAAAACTTTTAAAGCTTTGATGTCTCTCCATATTGAGAGACCCTGTGGACATGTAGGGAATGTCTAGTGTTAACATATTATGAGAGACCCTGAGAACATGTAGGAAATGTCTAGTGTTAGGATATTATGAGAGACCCTGAGAATATGTAGGAAATGTCTTGTGTTAATATGCTATGAGAGACTCTGAGAGCCTGTAGGAAATGTCTAGTGTTAACATGTTATGAGAGACCCTGAGAACATGTAGGGAATGTCTAGTGTTAACATATTATGAGAGACCCTGAGAACATGTAGGAAATGTCTAGTGTTAGGATATTATGAGAGACCCTGAGAATATGTAGGAAATGTCTTGTGTTAACATGCTATGAGAGACTCTGAGAGCATGTAGGAAATGTCTAGTGTTAACATGTTATGAGAGACCCTGAGAACATGTAGGAAATGTCTAGTGTTAGGATATTATGAGAGACTCTGAGAACATGTAGGAAATGTCTAGTGTTAACATATTATGAGAGACTCTGAGAACATGTAGGAAATGCCTAGTGTTAACATATTATGAGAGACTCTGAGAACATGTAGGAAATGTCTAGTGTTAACATGTTATGAGAGACTCTGAGAACATGTAGGAAATGTCTAGTGTTAACATATTATGAGAGACTCTGAGAACATGTAGGAAATGCCTAGTGTTAACATGTTATGAGAGACCCTGAGAACATGTAGGAAATGTCTGGTGTTAACATATTATGAGAGACTCTGAGAACAGGTAGGAAATGCCTAGTGTTAACGTATTATGAGAGACTCTGAGAACATGTAGGAAATGTCTAGTGTTAACATGTTATGAGAGACCCTGAGAACAGGTAGGAATTGTCTAGTGTCTAGCAGCTGTCCACTTCAAGCAAGTTTTTGAATATCAAATTTGGGCATATCTGTGGATTGGTGTCCTTATATACAGATATAGCAGATATTTTGTGTAATCTTTATTCATACTGAAGATGTTTGCTTTGTGTTTAATTTCACACAATCTTTACTGAACATGAATATTGAGTGGTTATGTTATCAATGGATGGTTGAATGGTGCAGTGGTAATATATTGGTCTTCCATCTTAACATCTGGGGTTCGATTCCACAGATTGACGTGGAAAGGCAGGTGGAAACCTTCCAGAGTACCTGGGTTTTCTAAGGGTACTCTGATTTCCTCTCAAATTAAGACCAATTAAATGCTTCAATCCGTGATTAATGTAAGCTTTAATAACTTGTTTCACATTTGTTGTAAAATAAATAAAATTTCTATATATAATTAATGTGCTTTATTTTCAGATATGTCATCTTTTGCCTGTTGTATTTTCATCAACTGTCTGTCATTTAGTTTTAAATTTGTGATAACAAACTGTTTTTATGACAAGATAACATTAGTGTGTAATTTTTGATGACAGGACTCAGCTTATGTTGACTGAGTTTAAGCGAGAGAACCTCCTGAAGGACTATGAACGGATGTCTGAAGACCTTCAGAGGAAGAAGAAAGAGATGAAGGAGGTTGAAGAACAGGAAAGGACTCGTATGGGAGACAGGAGGCGTCCCGACATGAATGATGACAAGGTAAGGCTCGTATGAAACCATTCTCATACCCATGCATGATATCTATTCTCATCCGATTTTTAGAATTCACTTACATCATGAAATAGAGATTTTAAAGAAAATGTGGCCACTCATGATATCAACTAAACTATCTACACTCTAGCAAAACATACCAAGTCATTTAATACTTAAGCTATCTGGGGCTACTCACTCAAAATATCGGCTTAACTGTCTACACTATCCTAAGCTACCTGGGGGGTACTCACCCAGAATGTCGGCTTAACCATCTACACTATCCTAATCTATCTGGAGGTACTCACTCACGATATGACTAAACTTTATAACCAGAAGTTAACCTGAGGTTCCACTTAACAGCAAGCCTAATATATTCACGAAGCCAGACAAGACTCTTCCAATTGACTCGAGAGATAAGTAAGAAACGACTTTAAAAATATATTACCAGTAAACTTTCCTTCAAGATGAGAAAAACTGACTCAAAAATCATGCAGGATTGTTTGTTTGTTTTTTCTAAACTCCATGAACAGCTGGGGTTGTTTTGAGATAAGGCCTCCTTGTATTAGCTTGAAGTTACTTCACTGAACAACAGATGTCAGATCTTTCACATGTCATTCAGAAAAGTTTTAGGATAAATGTCATCCCCATCAAATGTCATTCCCAACAACACAACCATGTCAGCACAGACCAGTCCATTTCTCAGCTTCCTGAGAAACACATACTAACACAGATAGAAAATGTTGAACCATGCAGTTAAGACAGGTATATTCTAAAGACATGGTCGATAAGTATTGGGGGTAAAATCATCAAAGAATTAAAACCCGGAATAAAACAAAAAGATGAAATTAAAAAATCTTGTGTGATTGAGACCCCGAAGACATCAGCTTTTGTGATTCAGAAAACTTCACCCTATGTTTATATTAAGACAAGTAAGACCTAGGTGATATCACTGGTCACTCTATTTGTAACCTTGTATTTGTAGACTCGTGACCTTGTGAAGGAAAATGACAGTCTCAAGATTCGTCTACGACAGATGGATGCTTTAGAGCTAGAGCGAGATGAAGTAGTTCGCCAGCTGGAGCTTGCCAAGGAAGACTTATTCAATGAACATCGTAAAGCTCGCAAGGAAAAGGAAGATCTCAAAGAGGTAGCTTAGTGAGATTTCATGTCACATGTTGTAGTAATAATCCCACCTATCCACTAGCATCCCAGTAAATATAACAACAAGGTAATGCCACTTATCCACTAACATCCCAGTAACTATAACTACAAGGTAATCCCACTTATAGCATCCCGGTAACTATAACTACAAGGTAATCCCACTTATAGCATCCCGGTAACTATAACTACAAGGTAATCCCACTTATAGCATCCCGGTAACTATAACTACAAGGTAATCCCACTTATAGCATCCCAGTAACTATAACTGCAAGGTAATCCCACTTTTAGCATCCCAGTAACTATAACTACAAGGTAATCCCACTTATAGCATCCCAGTAACTATAACTACAAGGTAATCCCACTTATCCACTAGCATCCCAGTAACTATAACAACAAGGTAATCCCACTTATAGCATCCCAGTAACTATAACTACAAGGTAATCCCACTTATCCACTAGCATCCCAGTAACTATAACAACAAGGTAATGCCACTTATCCACTAGCATCCCAGTAACTATAACAAGAAGGTAATGCCACTTATCCACTAGCATACCAGTAACTATAACAACAAGGTAATCCCACTTATCCACTAGCATCCCAGTAACTATAACTACAAGGTAATCCCACTTATCCACTAGCATCCCAGTAACTATAACAACAAGGTAATGCCACTTATCCACTAGCATCCCAGTAACTATAACAACAAGGTAATGCCACTTATCCACTAGCATACCAACAAGGTAATCCCACTTATCCACTAGCATCCCAGTAACTATAACTACAAGGTAATCCCACCTATCCACTAGCATCCCAGTTACTATAACTACAAGGTAATCCCACTTATAGCATCCCAGTAACTATAACAACAAGGTAATCCCACTTATCCACTAGCATCCCAGTAACTATAACTACAAGGTAATCCCACCTATCCACTATCATCCCAGTTACTATAACAACAAGGTAATCCCACCTATCCACTATCATCCCAGTTACTATAACAACAAGGTAATCCCACCTATCCACTATCATCCCAGTAACTATAACAACAAGGTAATCCCACCTATCCACTATCATCCCAGTAACTATAACTACAAGGTAATCCCACCTATCCACTATCATCCCAGTTACTATAACTACAAGGTAATCCCACCTATCCACTATCATCCCAGTTACTATAACTACAAGGTAATCCCACCTATCCACTATCATCCCAGTAACTATAACAACAAGGTAATCCCACCTATCCACTATCATCCCAGTAACTATAACAACAAGGTAATCCCACCTATCCACTATCATCCCAGTAACTATAACAACAAGGTAATCCCACCTATCCACTATCATCCCAGTAACTATAACAACAAGGTAATCCCACCTATCCACTATCATCCCAGTTACTATAACTACAAGGTAATCCCACCTATCCACTATCATCCCAGTTACTATAACAACAAGGTAATCCCACCTATCCACTATCATCCCAGTAACTATAACTACAAGGTAATTCCACCTATCCACTATCATCCCAGTTACTATAACTACAAGGTAATTCCATTTATCCATTGAACTGTATTGTAGGAGGTGGAAACGCTGAACATGAAGTTAGAAGAGAGACATGATGGTGATGATGTAGCTCTACGTCTCCACAAGATGGATGCAGCCTATAGACGGATGGAAAAGGAAAAAAATGAGATCATCCATGTAAGGATTTATGTGTCTTTATTTGATGTTCTTGTCTTAGTTGAAGTTATCAGGTTGTGACCATCAGAACACTTGGTCAGTATAAGTAGTGAGCAAGCCTTGTTTCTAGTAGAACTGATGAATTTTCTTCAAAAATTTAAGTCATGAACATCATTAGATCACTATGAAAACATTTCTTTATAAATTCTTAAGTATGGAGTGTTTCATATATTTCCTGTCAAATTGAATTCATCAGAAATGGATGTCATATGATTCTTAAATTTATCACTGAGAAAACTGAAATCAAACTTTCCCTAAAGATGACTCTAACAGAGACACAAGGTCACAAAAAGTTTGAATGATATACTTACCTCTACTAGATACTATACAATACTTGACATTCTGTAAATATATTTCTTCCTCATAAGATCATCTTTGGAATTATATATCATACTTTAAGCAGTGTTTATTTAGTGAGATCACTAGTAAATATAGAGGATTGTAAAGTTTGTCCTTCTGAAAAGCACACCTCTATGCTACAGAGATATGATCATACAGTCAATATTGGTCCAGAACTTCTTGTTTGTCCTTACTGTTCCTTGTATGTTCTGCTGTCCCCATGGTAACGCTTGAGTTGGGTATCTCTTGCTGTCTCTGTACTCCTTCAGTATCTGATCTACAATGAGTACAGATAACCATTAATCCTTCTGATAATAAATGATGATCTGTGGATATAAAACCATTATGTTCTGTCCTACCAGGAGAAGACTAAACTCTATGAGGAGTTGCGTGACAAGTCGAAGGCTAGCATGACTGAAGTTAAGCGCAGTGTCACTCGTGAGTCTGGAGAAATGCGAAATGAAATTGACGATCTTGGTCGTAAAGTTAACCTGCACCAGGAGGCCATCAAGGAGAGAGATGACATCATAGCTAACCTCAGGTAACCAAAGCAATGACTGAATTAGTCTGGTAACCATAATACCTTAGTTAACCTCCAGTAACCATAGCAATGAACAGTCAGGTAACCACAATATCACAGTTACCCTACAGTAACCATAACAAAGAACAGTCAGGTAACCACAATATCATAGTTAACCTCCAGTAACCATAGCAATGAACAGTCAGGTAACCACAATATCAAATTTTACATCCAGTAACCATAGCAATGAACAGTCAGATAACCACAATATCACAGTTACCCTCCAGTAACCATGGCAATGAACAGTCAGGTAACCACAATAACACAGTTACCCTCCAGTAACCATAACAAAGAACAGTCAGGTAACCACAATATCATAGTTTACCTCCAGTAACCATAGCAATGAACAGTCAGGTAACCACAATATCATAGTTAACCTCCAGTAACCATAGCAATGAACAGTCAGGTAACCACAATATCACAGTTACCCTCCAGTAACCATGGCAATGAACAGTCAGGTAACCACAATAACACAGTTACCCTCCAGTAACCATAACAAAGAACAGTTAGGTAACCACAATATCATAGTTTACCTCCAGTAACCATAGCAATGAACAGTCAGGTAACCACAATATCAAAGTTACCCTCCAGTAACCATAGCAATGAACAGTCAGGTAACCACAATATCACAGTTAACCTCTTGTAAATATGGCAATGGCTTTGTCACTTAGTCACGCACCTGCAACATTAAAGCTAACCACAGGTAACAAATAGCAATGACTTCATGACTTATTCAGGTAACCTTAATATCGTAACTTACCTCCAGTAACCATAGGAATGACTTTGTTACTTTGTACAACTTTGTTACAAAAAGTTTGACCAACATAACCAGAGTTAGCCTCTATTTTTCAGTGAGAGAAGTACAGATCTTCAGCAGAGGCTGACAAGGGAGATAACTACCAAGGATAATATGATGGAGGATCACAAACGTACACTTCAGAACCTTAGGAAAGAGATGGTAGGTTGTGAGGAATTGTAGAAAATTAGATTTTATTCTTAGATAATGACTTAGAAGAGAGCTCTGTCTCAGATGTAATACCTATAGAATTTATTCCCATCCTTTATCAAAACAGAACACTGTACAGTCTACAGAAAGTTGTCAACTTTTCTATACCTCTCCTCCGTTAATGAATCATTAAAATGCCTAAAAACATCATAGTGACCAAACTTCAACAAAGCAACAAGTCAGATTATTGTACATGAGAACATGGTGAACTTTCTGAAGTGAAAACTGAAGCTGGAAATTCAGAATACCAGGTAGTTTACGGTGGGAAAGCATGAACAGTATGGTTTACAGAAATTTCTGACTGAAATTTCTTTTTACAGGACTCGGCCATGATTCAGCTAAGAGAGAACATGTTTCTGGATAAACAGCAAGCCCTGGATACACTGCGTCGAGAACTCGAACAGGAACGCCGTGATACCACAATGCGTGCTGATGATAAACTTTCGCACCACATCACAGAACATGTGAATCTTGTCAAGGTAAGAGTTGAATGGTTATCTCCCCTTGTGTGTGCCTTCTCTGTTGAAAATAAGTCTGCAATTCTAAGGGTGAATTTGTTGTGAATGCATTGTTTCTTTTGTCTTGATGGTGAAGGGATTGATGAGAAAGTTTGTTTTGTTTTTATGTTTTTTTTGTGATGTTGAGATAAATTGTCAGTACGTTTATCACACGTAACGGTAACCATTGATGAGGATAAATGTTTAAATTGGTGATGGATATGTTGATACATGTGTAATGTGCTCAGTGTTAATCGTGTGTATATATTTGGTTTCCAGTATAAACAGGTATCACATGTGTTGTGTTTTCATGTTGTATTCACTCCTTGATTAACATGGTTTTAACTGCAATAATTTCTTGTTTTGGTAATAATACTGCCTGCACTGTTTGATATCCCTCAACACACTGTAAAGTGTTTCTGTAGAAAATGTTTGACTGATTGTGTGCACTGTTAGAGATATGAGCTCAGTATGTGTCACAGAAATAATTATCTCAGTGTAATTTTGAATTTGAACTGGTGTGTGTCTGCCGTTTATTTTTGTTCATCACATACAAGGATAACATTATAACTTTTCTAACACATTGTATGTTGAAGGAATTTTGAAAAAAAAATTCTAAATTAAAACATTTAATTTTTACACCAAATATTGCACAGTTTGTGATTCAAAAGTCAACTGCATATTTCATTGACATTGAAAGTCATTAGTACAATGTATGTAGTTTAATGAAAGAGAAAACACATCAGGATGAAAATTCATGGTTAAATATTATTTTTCTCATAGATATTAATCACTCCTACGTATAATAACATTATCAATTAATGCTGATCGTTGTAGGATTAAAGTAACATGACCTTGATGTTAATGTTGATAATTTCTATTACTTTACTTTCACACTGAAATTAAACACATACTTACTATCTTTTCTAAAAACATAACTAAACCAAACTTACAGATAGGTTTCCATCAAAAGTAATTTGAAAACCTGCTTATATTGGTATACAATGTATATCTTTACCTATTTCAACAGGCCTCCCATTAGCTCTTCATGTATACGTTTCTTGGGTTATTAAACCTTTATCATATCACAACTTATCTAAAATGACCTTCCTGTAAGATCTCTTTAGAATTACCTATAAATGGATTACTTGAGTGATCTTTTACATTTTGATAATTTGGTTCTGATTTACAACATCTATGTATCATTAGGGACATACATGTCTTGTTAGAGAGGTAAGTTTTGATTTCTATAAGAGTTATCTTCCTTTAATAAAATACTGAAAATTAATTTTCTTCATAATGTATTTCTTCTACACTCATTGATTTTGACAAAAATAATAAATAACAACAAAGAAATGTAAAGCTTTTCAAAACTTTTAGTTTAATTGAGATGATATTATACCATTTGACAGAATTCCATGTTTTCTTCTTGTATGTACAAAAATGTATGTATAAGGTTTGTGACAATACATTCTGTGTTTTAGGCCAAGGAAGATGAGATTTCTCGTCTGATTGACATGGTAAAAAAACTTGAGGAGGAACGACGGGATACTGAGAGGAAATTGAGGGAGGAAGCAAGAGAGGAGGTACATTTTAATTTATTACATAAAAGTAAAAAAGTATAAGCTTTTGACCTTAAGAAATTAGAAGCATATGCCTAGAAAAATCTGTGAAAGGATGGTCTGAGAATACCCTGTTACTTACAGGTGCGAACACAGGTGGAGCGGGAGGCACAGTCCCTTCATGCTGATCACCGCCTCCAGATGTCCCGAGAGCGTGAGCAGATGGAAAAGGAAGCTAAGGTGACATTACGAAAACTGACCAATGAGCTGGACGAGGAGAGGCGACAGAGGGAACACTTGGCAGACAAAGTAACTCGTCTTACCAAGGTAGGCCTGTCTCAGTCCAATGAGATCACCATATAATCTACACATGTTCTGTCAAAATTTTTGTTTAATTTGACTTGTTGGGCATGTGATATCTTACATGCAATAGTGCTGCCCCCGGCCATCATTCTGTCATAACATAGTCATTTTCTCAAAGCTGGAGGTGGATGTTGAACTGAGTTTTGATCTGTAATTGAGAAGATACAAGTCAAGCTAATATTTGGTTCTGGTGAGCTTTATCCCCTGTGATGAGATAGAATCAGCTGATGTGCCCATTCTTTTCTTTGTAAACAAGCTTTCAACGGCTACGCATTCCTTCATTTTTTCAGCAAAGTCTTTTCAACTGAATGTGATGCTGTAACTGAATGTAATTTTGGCTCTAATACAAATTTTCATTTTGACCCCTTTTAATAAGAGTTATGGCCTTTAGTTGACATTCTTCATAAGAATTTGTCCAACTATGACATCGTGTATTTTTTCAGGGAATGTTTTCACAGAGGTTCATCTGGATAAAAGTATATCATAAACCACAGATATCTAGTGAAGATTATCACAGGTTTTTGGAAAAAATATAATTTTCAAAATTAGTTCTTCAAAATATATGTGTAATGTATTTGTTTGAGTAATTATTTCTGTGTAATGGCCTGCTGGAGAATTCCAGCTACTTCTTATGTTTGTATTTTTGTGGCCTTAAGGCTGGTATTAAGGAGGTATAATCTGGATAAGTAGTCCGAGTCATTTTGTGTATGTTTAACTATTTATGATCTGGATTAGTGATCATTAGGATTTTATGGGACGATTTAGGGCAAGTTAATCAAAGCAGTATTTCATGTTTGTGGGACAATTATGGTTAATTATTTTTACGATTTTTCTATTGGGGATATATTGCCTCGGGCTTCTGTAATCAATCTTAGTATCTGGATGGTATTATGTGCCATGTACAAAACACTTTGGGTAAGACAGCATTTACAGGGGATGGAGAATATTTTATATGAAATACTCTTAGTATCTGGATGGTATTATGTGCCATGTACAAAACACTTTGGGTAAGACAGCATTTACAGGGCATGGAGAATATTTTATATGAAATACTCTTAGTATCTGGATGGTATTATGTGCCATGTACAAAACACTTTGGGTAAGACAGCATTTACAGGGCATGGAGAATATTTTATATGAAATACTCTTAGTATCTGGATGGTATTATGTGCCATGTACAAAACACTTTGGGTAAGACAGCATTTACAGGGCATGGAGAATATTTTATATGAAATACTCTTAGTATCTGGATGGTATTATGTGCCATGTACAAAACACTTTGGGTAAGACAGCATTTACAGGGCATGGAGAATATTTTATATGAAATACTCTTAGTATCTGGATGGTATTATGTGCCATGTACAAAACACTTTGGGTAAGACAGCATTTACAGGGGATGGAGAATATTTTATATGAAATACTCTTAGTATCTGGATGGTATTATGTGCCATGTGCAAAACACTTTGGGTAAGACAGCATTTACAGGGCATGGAGAATATTTTATATGAAATACTCTTAGTATCTGGATGGTATTATGTGCCATGTACAAAACACTTTGGGTAAGACAGCATTTACAGGGCATGGAGAATATTTTATATGAAATACTCTTAGTATCTGGATGGTATTATGTGCCATGTACAAAACACTTTGGGTAAGACAGCATTTACAGGGCATGGAGAATATTTTATATGAAATACTCTTAGTATCTGGATGGTATTATGTGCCATGTACAAAACACTTTGGGTAAGACAGCATTTACAGGGGATGGAGAATATTTTATATGAAATACTCTTAGTATCTGGATGGTATTATGTGCCATGTGCAAAACACTTTGGGTAAGACAGCATTTACAGGGGATGGAGAATATTTTATATGAAATACTCTTAGTATCTGGATGGTATTATGTGCCATGTACAAAACACTTTGGGTAAGACAGCATTTACAGGGGATGGAGAATATTTTATATGAAATACTCTTAGTATCTGGATGGTATTATGTGCCATGTGCAAAACACTTTGGGTAAGACAGCATTTACAGGGGATGGAGAATATTTTATATGAAATACTCTTAGTATCTGGATGGTATTATGTGCCATGTACAAAACACTTTGGGTAAGACAGCATTTACAGGGGATGGAGAATATTTTATATGAAATACTCTTAGTATCTGGATGGTATTATGTGCCATGTGCAAAACACTTTGGGTAAGACAGCATTTACAGGGCATGGAGAATATTTTATATGAAATACTCTTAGTATCTGGATGGTATTATGTGCCATGTACAAAACACTTTGGGTAAGACAGCATTTACAGGGCATGGAGAATATTTTATATGAAATACTCTTAGTATCTGGATGGTATTATGTGCCATGTACAAAACACTTTGGGTAAGACAGCATTTACAGGGGATGGAGAATATTTTATATGAAATACTCTTAGTATCTGGATGGTATTATGCAATATATTAAAAAAAATTTGGGTAAAGAAGCACTGACATTTTAATTTTGACACAGTTTTTTATTACTTAAACTGCCAGCAGCTATAAAACTCTCATGGTTGTTACACATCCATCATCAAAAACAAACTGAGTCACTAACATACTTATGACATTTATTTGTCTCACATCTTCCCTTTTTTATAGAATCCATCTCAGTGTGATTATATACATTGGGGGACACTCCATCAATAAACAATATTGTCAGATAGGGGATTTGTGATATAATGAAATAGATCAACAAATCAATATCATAAATGTCACTGATCAAGTGTCTCACGATTGTGTCTGTTTATTATAAGTCATCACTGTCTGTCACGACTGTATCTTTAATTTATCATTATATACTCAAGGGGTAAAGAAATGCAGGGTAAATGGCCTGAGCGTTCTGAACTTCCGTCAGCCGTGCCATTGTTTAATGCTATCAGGAATTAAATAAAAATATTGGAAAATGAAATGTCTTGATGAAGACTATCTAATGGTATGAAAAGCAGTGTAACACAATGTCACAACATGTACACTGCTGTGCATGAGATTTTCCTGTTTCGTGCTTTCCCTGGAAGACATCGTCACGCAATACAATAATGCAACTTTCGATACAGGACCATGTGCACTGTAACCTAGAGAGTTTTTCATTGTTTTTGAAGAATTCATTCACAAGATATTGCAAATAATGTCATCCTGTGTTTCTTTAACCTTTGAGAATACATAAAAATGTATCATTAAGGTTATACAATACAGAATTATTACCCCTGTGTCTGTTTACTATCATTACTGTAAATTAATTGTGTTGTTCTGAAATTGAATTTTTTTTTACTTTTATTTTGGATGTTTTCATCATTTGAGCATGTCTATCTATCACATTTATAGAAAATGGCATTTCAAAATGTTAATGCTGATAGCTAAGGAAATTAAATATATTTTTCATCTTTTCACGTAATTCACCAATCACTTTTTTCAGTTATTGACTGATAAAACCTAGATCTTCTTATCTCAACATACATGTACATGCCAGTTTATATATTAAACCAACAATGATTTCTGAACATGCTCATACCAATAACAGATAATTTGATTATGAATCAGTATAGAACATGTAAAGGTATTTGTTGAGTAAATGGTTCAGTGGACATGATAGCTTTCACCTCCACCAGGTGTTTGTGATATGCTCCATTGATATACCTGCTGTCTTTATTGCTCGTTTGTTTGATGTTTGCTTTCTTCAGGTGAGAAAATCAATATTTCTTTCTGCAATGATTTCTCTATATATACATTATCAAACCCTGAAAATGTTTCATTCATGAAAAACTACAAACTATTCTGTTGTGAATCGGCCCCTTTTATTGACCAAGTTTTGCCTGTAGGGTCACATGAGAACCTGGACTTTGTAAATATATATATAATGATTCTGATAGTACTGGCTTTGATCTTTGTAAATATTGTCCAATTGAAAGGCATCCTCAACCAATCAGAACTTCATATTTCATTTGTGTGTTAAAGATAAATTTGATAAACTTTTATCAGTTAGGAATACTAAACTTGTAAAGATGAGAATTTTCCTGAGATTTTCAGCTAATTTTGCAGTTAATTTACTTGTCCCCTTCTGTAGAATACTAGAACTCTAGCTGTAATATGTATAGATCATATGAAATGAGTTATGGATTCCACAGTGTAAAAAATTTTTAGGGTGTGAGTTACACACTTGTATGTCAGGATAAGGATTCCTTATAGTGATCCATTGTTAATTTAAAATACAAGATTTGAAGTCTATACCTATATAAATGGTACATGATATAGCTACTAATGAGGTTTCATGCTTTCAATACTTAATCCATCAATGTCAAACTCACAGTGATCTATAACCAAGTCAGGTACAGAAAATAGGATAGAAAAGGACAGAAGTTTAAGAAATGCTAAGTGCTTTCTTGATTATAAACTTTTATATTTAAAAAAAAATAAATAGATAAAAAAAGATTTGTTCCTAATTGAAAATGGCATAGAATGTAGATTGGTTTTATTTCTAATTCATTAGATTTGAATGAAAAGTAAATTTCAAAAATCAGGTTTTGCAAAAATAGAAATTAAATATTTCATTATTAAAGTATACTGACTACTTAATATTGAGGCACACAAAGTATATTATGAAAGTTTACAGAAAAGTTTCATCAATATTTTTTTATTCACTTATCTACTTTTGTCAATATGCCGTTCTGAAATTGAACTTGATAATAATATTAATACACAGAAGTCATCCAAGTTGAATAATCACACATTTATTGCCAAATTGACATATAGAGGAGATTTGTAGATTTGGTCAAATCCCTGACACCTTCAGAATAATCAGCCTTGAAGCATTTTTACACAAAGCTCCAGAGAGTCATTACCATGCTGTTTAATATTTTATAATCTTTGTATATATTCAGGCAGGCCTAATCAAGGTGTATACAATACATTAT